GGCAAACCTCTGAATGATTAAGGATGCAGGCTGTAGTTAGACTTCCTGGTGTTGAAAACTACCTCTGCCACTGAATAACCTCATGTAGACATGTTCTTAACATTCAAGGTCTAAGTTTTCTCATCAGAGCTAGAGTTAATATGGCCTTTTTTTTTGGTTTTTCGAGACAGGGTTTCTCTGTGGTTTTGGAGCCTGTCCTGGAACTAGCTCTTGTAGACCAGGCTGGCCTCGAACTCACCTAGATCCGCCTGCCTCTGCCTCCCGAGTGCTGGGATTAAAGGCGTGCGCCACCACCGCCCGGCCCAGTTAATATGGTTTTATTACAGAGTTTCTGGCATATTAATGACGATAGTATGTGTATAGTATGTCCCATAGTACCTGGCCTGACATGTGGCCAGTACTGAATCAATGGTAGCCATCATTGTTACTGCTTTGTGAAAATTTTAAAATAGAATAGTAATGTTATTGTTTTGAAAGCTAACTGATCAGATTGTGTGGAGCAAATTACTAAGGGAGGCAGAAACTTTAATTAGGTTTAGTTATGTTAGTAGAGTAGTTCAATAAATGGATGACCAAAGCATCAATTAAAGGGAAGATACTTATTCTTCCCTTTAAGCTGATTATGCTTAATAGTTGTATTAGGTAGATAGATATTGGATAAATGATGGAGAATGGGAATGAAACAGATAAACAACACGAAGGGATAATAAGACTAAATTTTGCTACTGAGAAACCCTGTCTTGAAAAACAAAAACAAAACAACAACAACAAAAGACTGCATTTACTTTATGTATTGATTCAATTGAACAGTTACAGTTGGAAGTACAGACTGTGGTTATTTGTTAAAGACTGATAATGGTCACATTGAGAAAGACCCTGATTCAGATTACTGAAAAATACCTCACTCAGTAAAGTGCCTGTGGTACTATCATGAGAACTTGTGTTCAGAACCTCAGTACCTGTCTTAAAGCCAGGGCCTCATGGGGAGGCAGAGACCCCTGGATTATTAGAGATCATTGGTTAGTTAGTCTAGCAGCATCAGTAAACTCCAGATTTAGTGAGAGACCCAGTTTCAGAATATGAGGTGGGGGAAGTAAAAGCATTTTGGTGTAAGCCTGATAACCCAGGTTTGAGTGTAGAATTTATGGTGGTAGAGAGAACTTCCAAACATATGGTATATGCCTTTAATCCCAGCACTTGGGAGGCAGAGACAGGAGAGCTCTTAAATTCTGCCTCAACCTGAACTAAATTGGAAAAACTGTCTCAAAGAAAACTAAAACAAAAATAAAACTACATAAAATTTTGAGCTAGGTAATTTAGTTGTGCTTTGTTCTATTGAGAATGAATAGTAGAATCGAAGTTTTCAAGTAGAACTTAGATAAGAAATTGAGCGTGTATTGACACATTGCAGGAAATTCAGCAATGACGATGTAAGAAAATTGAAAGATTTGAATAATCATAAAGAGTTGGAGTCATGTTGGAGCTGTGGCTCAATGATTAAGAGCCTTTGTCCTGCAAAGATCCTGAGTTCAATTCTCTGTAGCCACATCTAATGGCTTAACAACCACCTGTCACTCCAGTTCTGGTGGTTCTGATGCCCTTTTCTGGCCTTCAAGGATATCCACACACATGTGGACTCAGGTCCACACTTAAAAAAAAAAATGACTAGAGAGATGGTTTGGTGGTTAAGAACACTTGTTACTTCCTACTTTTGCAGAAGACTGGTTTAGTTCCTAGCACCCACCTAGTGGTTAACATCCATCCAGGACTCAAGTTCCAGGGAATATAACATTCTTTTCTGATCTTCATGGGTACCAGGCATGCACACGAACATACATGCAGATAAGCACTCATAAATCTAAAATAATTAAAAATATACAACAATAATGAATCTTTTTTTAAAAGTCTAAAATTCAGAAAGGTGGAAATCTCCACAAAAATTTAAATCTGAGTGATGGGCAGTAGTGGTACCATGACAAAAATAACAAAGAAAGAAACAAAATTTGATGAAGGGATAATTAAATAACAACCACAATTACGTCATCCCAGGGATGCTTTGAAAATTTGAAAATAATGCTATTGTATGTATTGAATCTTTCCTTAGGTTATGTGACTACTCCATAGTTCTACATCAGATTGATGAACAGCCTTGGTTTGGTTTGGTTTGGTTTTTGTGATGGAAACTCTCAGAGCTCAGGCTGACCTTCAATTCTTATCCCTCCTGCCTTTACCTCCTAAGTGCTAGTGTAACAGTTAAACACCAGTATTCCTGCCTGAGGAGCCTTTTGATGATCCCTTAGGTCAAATGAAACTTGGCATTATGTTGATATAAAAACAGATGATCCTGCAGCATCATTTTGACCTAGTTTGAGCTATGGCTCTGCACCTTGAGAAGCTGCTTAACATCTCTGAGTCCATTGCTGAAATGGAGATGAATTCTATCTGATCACACAGGATGTCTCTGAAAATCATGTGAGACTTGTGTATTGGAAAGCATTTTATAGACTAAATCATAAATTGGCACTGCTACATAAATTGGTCTTAAGATACACGAGTATTTTAGAAACTACTACATACTAATAGTTGAATAAGCTGTGTAAATTGTGGATCATTTGATATATAGAGATAAATGACCTAGCCCCATTACTTTCAAGACAGACATTTAATGATGCAAGTTGTAATATAAGTATTTGCCATGTCCTGTGTTATTTGACCCCAAAAATAAAAGGTACTATTAATGTAGGCTGGGAGTATCATAATAAATTTCCAAGAAAACTTACGAAACACTAAATGAGGAATAACAGAGCGAGGTGGTTCCTGCATAAAACATCTATTGTACCTGGGTGTGAGAAGCTAAGGATTGTGGAGGTTAAGGTCAGCATGGGCATAGGGAATTCCAGATGAGTCTGAGCTAGTGTGAGACCTTGTCTCAATTCCTCCAGTATAAGGTGAGATTATATACCCAAAACAACATGACATGCAAAGTAAATCAGTTGTTGGTCAGTCTGTCTGTCTGTCTATTGGAACAGATTGTCACTGTGTAGCTTGGCTGGCTTGTACCTTGCTGCTCAACCTCATAGAGACATACCTGCCCCTGTCTCCTGAGCACTGTTCTCTGCACTACCATGCCTGACTAAAATAGTTTTAAATTAATGTAATTTAAGAAATAAAAGCAAGTTAATGTCTGAAACAGAATGTGTTCAGACTATGAGGTAGTGGTAAAAGATGAGGGTAAATTATAGGTAGGTATTTCATCATGAAGGACCTCTATGTTATGATAAAATAATTTGAATTTTAGAGATGGATAGATATCAGCACAGTGGTTAAGAGCACTTGTTGCTTTTACAGAGGACCTCTGTTTAGTTCCCTGCACTCACATGGTGGTTCACAGCCATTCATAACTCCAGCTCCAGGTGATCAGATGCCCCTCTTCTGACTTCTTAGAACACCAGGCATGCATATGGTACATATACATACAGACAGACAGACAGAATACTCAAACACATAAAATAATTTCAGTTTTATATAGTGAAGCCAATCTGAACTGGAATGTTAATGCTTGAATTTTAAAAATAATACTCTGTATGTTTAGGCAAGTGGCTAAATTAGTAGCATGCTTGAGGACCTGAATTCCTTCCCCAGAACCCAGTGGACAGTAAAGTTAGTTAAATTACATAGATAAGCATTTGGCTTTGATTTTATCTACATCCCTAAAAGATCATATTAAAGTTGTTTAGAAAACATTGTTTTTATGTTTGTATTAAAGAACATGCAAGATGAACTGCAAAGGTAAAGAAAGGTAAAAAGACACTTACTGCACAACCCTGGCAGCCTGAGTTTGATCCTGGAACCCATGTATAGATGGAAGTGAAAAACCAACCCTACAAATTTGTCTTCTAACCTCCAAACATGTTGTGACATATACACTCAATACATCATGCAGACCAGTGGTTCTCAACCTTCCTAATGCTGTGACCCTTTAATACAGTTCCTCATGTTGTGGTGACCCCAACCATAAAATTACTTTTCTTGCTACTTCATAATTGTAAGTTTGCTACTGTTATGAATCATAATGAAAAAAATTTGTTTTCCCGATGGTTGTAGGTGACCCCTGTGAAAGAGTCATTTGACCCCAAAAGTCTCGATCCTCAGGTTGAAAACTGCAGATGTAGACACATACACACTATAATATTTGTTTTAAAAATGGCATGGAAGATTGTCTTATGTTTGCAGTTTATTTCTATTAAGGCTTATGTAGTAATTATATTTTATAATATGAGTTCTGACTGAATGTATTGTAGTAAAGAAAATCTTTAGTTATCTTGAAATTTTTTTTCAAATCAATTCTCTTACTATTTTCAACAAAGAACATGTTCTTACATATAGTTTATTATTACTTCCCCCACCCACCACCACCACTAGGGGATGAATCTAAGGCCTTGTGAGACAGGCACTCTCCCATGAACCCAGGTCTTATAGAGTTTAACTAGGTAGCTTCCTTCATTTAAACTTGTTTGTCAGCTTACTTATTTAATTTTGAGACAAGTTCTCAGTAGCCTAGGCTGAATTCAGATTTGCTAAATTCTAGACGTAAAGAACTATAAAAGCTGGGTTTGGAGGAACACCTGTAATTCCAGCACTCAGGAGGTAGAGGCAGGTGGATCTCTCTGAGTTCATGACCAGCCTGGTCTACATAGTGAATTCCAGGAGAGCAAGGACTATGTTGTGAGACCCTTAAAAAAAAAAAGTGTGTGTGTTTGTATATATGTATATATGTATGTGTGTGTAGGACCTGGGTTTCATCTCAAAACCACACACAGAGTAGTGTTATTTGATCATTCTTTTAGAAAAATTTTGTTTAAATTGACATATCTATTAAATGAAGAAAACCTCTTTGAATATTTTTGAAATTTATTTTTAGTTTTATTTATCTAAATCCAATTAGTTTCTGTGTTAATAATATATTGTTACTTATTTTTTGTTCATTTAAAAATACGCAGCTGTCCCTTTTCCTCCAACTCATCGGTTGACATCTGAAGAAGTATTTGATATGGATGGGATACCCAGGGTTGATGTTCTGAAGAACCACCTGGTTAAAGAAGGTCGGGTGGATGAAGAAATTGCACTTAGAATTATCAATGAGGGTGCTGCCATACTGCGGCGGGAGAAAACCATGATAGAAGTAGAAGCTCCAATTACAGGTAAACTTACTTGTGTTTTGGATATTATTAAACCAGTATTTAGTTGATTGGAGATAAAGCTATTTCCTTTTCAATCACATTATGTACAGATTGATATTAAATGGACATTGTCTTGATTTTATGGGTCTGTATTTTAAGTTTTTGTTTTTAATAAACATACATGAGGCTAGTCTATCTAAAATGCTTTTATGAAGGTTTCATCAGTTGTATTGGCCATACTTCAGTTTGATTCAATATTTACTTTGCTCTTAATTACTAGTGGCAAATACCTTGATATTAATCAGAATCTATATGTGATCATTTTAAGGTCATTGAAAAGTACTAAGTTGAAATGGGAGTTTTATTACTAGCAATATAATCTTGTCATCCTGTGAAGTGCTTACTTAGCTTCTAAAAAAGGAGCCTTATAAATTTACATGAAAAATTCATTACTGACATATCTTGTTACTTTTGTTACATCTTGTTTTAGATCTTGAGCACATGAGCACTTGGTTAAATATCATTCCTATGATGACTCTTTCTTGGGCCACTCTTCAGATATTTCTTAATAGCAATTTTAATATCTTATGTTACAGCAGTTAGAGTTTAAGTAATATTTGTTAATTCAGAGGCTTTTTTTCATATCTAATAATCTTCTTGTTTCAGTGTGTGGTGACATCCATGGCCAATTTTTTGATCTGATGAAACTTTTTGAAGTAGGAGGATCACCTGCTAATACACGATACCTTTTTCTTGGTGATTATGTGGACAGAGGTTATTTTAGTATAGAGGTAATAATTATATACTGTCATTTGATTTGCAATTGTTAATATAGATTTTCTGTTAATTCCTAGTACAATAAGTTCCTTAAAATACTTGTATTGGGTTCTTTTTAATACCTCTGTATATTCTGAAATTTGTAGGAAAAGCTATTATTTATTCCTTTTTCAGACCATTCAATTAGTTTTCTTTGTATCATTTCTTATAATTACTGTTTTTTCCCTAGTGGAAATGATAAGCAGACTGAGATTTTTATTGTCTTGTTATCTCATGGCTTATGAGCTAATGATAGTCATTTCTTTACCTCTCGCCACTAAGGGCATTAAACCATGAAATTCTTAAAGTGAAGCATTCATTATATAATGCTTTTATTGCTTAAACTGTAGATCTATTTCATCATAATGCTATTAAGAGTCAAGAATATCCAAATCAATTTTTTTAAACTTTTAAGAGGCATTAAAATGACCTATTGTTCATCACTTAATTCATTGATTCTCTTTGCTCCTTTTCATTTTGATTGTATAAAGTATGGAAAATACAGAGCAACCTGTATTTTCTAACATATATATCTCTTTATTTAAATGAATATGGAACCATATTAAAACATTTTTTATCTTGTCTTTACATAATCTTTATACTGTGACATTTTACATATTGGTAAATACTAACCTACGGAGTCATTTTCCATTGAATAAACAAACTTTAGCTTCTTGTTAGATACTTAAAATTCCCAAGTCTTTTCATTACAAGTGATGTCTTATTGGGACATTGTAATCCTATATTTCTATGTATTTACCCTGTTATTTCTATAGGACAGATTTGTAGGTAGACTTGCGACTTGCTTAGTGAAAGCTCTGTCAGTATATAATTTATATTACACGTTTAATATATTCCAACCAGGTTTAAGCATTAACAGATACTGGTTAATTTAGTCCTCAGAGCATTGTTATGAGGTAAGTACTGTTATTTATCCATTCGTTAGATGAGGAGCCTAAGGCTTGAAGTTAAATTAACTTGGCCAAAGTTATTAAGTGGCACAATCAAGCAGTCTGACTCACCTGCCCAAGTAGGTACTGAGGGTTTTTTTTTTTTTTAAGGATTTATTTATTATGCCTACAGTGTTCAGCCTGCATATTTGCCTGTGGGCCAGAAGAGGGCACCAGATCTTATTAGATAGTTGTGAGCCACCATGTGGTTGCTGGGACTTGAACTCAGGACCTCTGGAAAAGCAGCCACTTTTAACCTCTGAGTCATCTCCCCAGCCCTACTGAGGGCTTCTTACCTGGCAAATTTCCATTCTACTCATTGTTATGTATATCCACTTTTAAGGTGGTTTTAGTATATTGTACTTCTCAATAAGGACTTTATGACTGTGTTCATTCCTTCCCTTAGGAATTTTATTATCCTGGGATGTTCTTCCCATTCATATTTTCATTATCAAACTCTTTAATCTTTGCTGAATTACCTCAAGGCTTTAAGAAAAATTCGAAAATGGTCTTGCCTGACAAAGAACTTAATATAATTGATAAAATCAGTGAAGTAAAACTTAGTTGTTACTGAGCATGTTGGTGTATATGTACTCATTTAAGACTATTTTATAGTTTAGTTAGTTAATAATACTGTTACAGACAAGATAAAGAATCAAAACCAAAAACAGTTTAGTTTTAGTAGATGTTTCTTTGGTTTTATTACCTTTCTTTTTCCTCAAGAAAATGAAGGTTATGCACTTCAATGTACTTGGTTAAAATAATTTTTTTCTTTTATTTTTCCCCGTTCCCTACCTCCCCAAGGGTTCCTCTGTGTAACAGCTCTGGCTGTCCTGAAACTCACTCTGTCTGGTCTTGAACTTACATAGATCCTCCAGCATCTATCTCCGGAATGCTGGGATTAAAGGCGTGAGCCACCACACTCAACTCTGAATTTTCTTTTTTTTTTTTCTGTTTTTTTTTTTGGTTTTTCGAGACAGGGTTTCTCTGTAGCTTTGGAGCCTGTCCTGGAACTAGCTCTTGTAGGCCAGGCAGGCCTCAAACTCAGAGATCTGCCTGCCTCTGCCTCCTGAGTGCTGGGATTAAAGGCATGTTGCAATCACCACCCAGCTCTAACTTTTCTTTTTGTATGATTGTATAAGCCATATTTGTTTTTACTTGAAATAGCCCTTTCTTCTTGAAACAATACATAAAATGTTAGTTTTTTATGTTAAATCTAGAGAAATGTGTGTATTCAAAATGCTGTTTGTTTCAATGTTTTTGTTATAAAAATTGCATTTTCTTTGAATTAAATTAGATCAGTGGTTCTCAGATTTCCTAGTGCTGCCGCCCTTTAATACAGTTCCTCATGTTGTGGTGACTCCCAGCCATAAAATTATTTGTGTTGCTATTTCATAACTGTAATTTTGCTACTGTTATGAATTGTAATGTAAATATCTGTGTTTTATGATGGTGTTAGGCTACTCCTTTGAAAGGGCTGGTCGACTCCAAAGGGTTCAAGACTCACAGGTTGAGAACCACTGGATTAGCTAGCTAATAAACATCTGCTTTATGTAAGGAAGTGTTTGCAAACAATAAAGCAAATATAGAACTTGACCCCTGTGTTAGGCAGTGTGGCATAATGCTTAAGATGAAAGGATCAAAACCTGTATTTATTTCTTCAGAGCTGTATGATTTTGGACAAGTTACTTAGCTTACTGATTTAGTTTCCTATATAAAATAGAGGTAATATGATAATTGCTTTTTGGCCTTTTGGCTAAGATAAAGTGGAGATCTACTACATATATCATAGTACTGTTTGAGAAATAAAAGAAACATTTTTTGTCTGAGAAGAATTGTCAAGCACTCCAGTGCTCAGCACATTGGTAAATACTCTTCTGTTAGCTTTTTTCATTTTAGTTTTTTGTTTTTTTTTAATTATTAATGAGGAAGCCATTTTGCTAAGCTACATTAAATAATCTATAAATCTTAAGTAGATTTATTTATTCAGCAGGTATTCTTTGGTCTTCTATTTGCTAGATACTTTTCTAGGAGAGTCAGAAGTAGTAATACAAAGTCTGATTTCATAAAACTTATTATTATTATGGGTTAAATGGCAATAATAAAGAGTAACAGAATTTATAAGGTTAATAGAGTTAAAAGAAAAGAAGCAAAGATAGACATAGTTAAATAAAATTTAAGAAAAATTCACTGGAAATATTTTCTTTTGCAGTGTGTCTTATATTTATGGGTCTTGAAGATTCTATACCCAAGCACATTATTTCTTCTGAGAGGCAACCATGAATGCAGACACCTTACTGAATATTTTACCTTTAAGCAGGAATGTGAGTACTTTCAGGAAAAATATTTTCATTGGTTCTTTTGGGATGACATAGGTAGTAAGAGATATGAAGACTTTATAGTATAACATATAAAAACATATTCCATGACCACACATGTACATTTTTGAGAAAAATTGTTAAGTATTTTCACATTTTATTTCCTGTTAACATTTTATGGATGTACCTAAGAATAGTTTGGATTTTTTTTTCATATATTTTTGAATGTCTTAAAAGTGGTGTGATAACTTTATGTATTTATAAAGCTATATGTATTTAACAAAGACCAAGAGAGGTGGTGGTATTGTTTCATGACAGATTTTATCAAAAGATTTATTTTATGTGTTTTGAGTGTTTTTTCTGCATGTATGTATGTGTACCACATGTATGCCTGGATGTCAGAAGATCCCCTGGAACCTGAGTTACAGATGAGTTGCTATGTGGGTGCTTAGAATCTGATTCTGGTCCTCTGCAAGAACAACCAGTGCTCTAAATCTCTGAGCCATTTCTCCAGGCCTCCTTTGCAGACTTGTATGTCTCAATTTTAAGGCATCCTGAAAAACATAAATTTATCTTGTCACCATTATAGACCATTTCAAACATAGTTAATGAACTCAGATTACTATTTCTTAAAATTTATTTTTACTGCTTTAAATTGTGTGTATGTCTCTGGGTATGTATGTGTACATATGTGGAGTACACCTGGAGGCCAGAAGCATCATATCTCACTGAAGCTGGAGTTGTAGATGCCTGTGAGTTGCTTGGTATGCATGCTGGGAATTGAACTCAGGTCCTTTGGAAGAACAAGTGCACGTGGCTCAATTCCAGACCTGAAATGAAATTCTTAACCTATAGTTTTTATCCTTTTTCTTGCTAATAAAGCAATAATAACATATCCACCACTAGATGGTATAGAGCAGTATTGACTTTTTTCATACTTTAAACTTGTGTGTGGTGATATTTTGTTTATGCTTTAACAAATAAAGCTTGCCTGAGGATCAAGAGTGTGGAGTGAACCACTAGTTAGCCATAGAGGCCAGGCCACACATCTTTAATCTCAGAATTCAGGAGGCAGATGGTTCTCTGTGAATTAAAGGCAACCCTGGGCTATACTACATTGATCCAGTCTCAAAGTGAAACAGTCAGGAGGTGGTGGCTCACACCTTTGATCCCAGTATTTGGGAGTCACCCACACCTTTAATTCCAATACTAGGGAGGTGGAGACAGGAAAGGGATGTGGCTGAGTGAAGAGAGGAATATAAGGGAAGGCATAAGCGCAAGGCACTCAGTCTAAGAACTTGAAGAGACAGGATACCCCATTCGGTCTGAAGATTTTGTAGAGGTAGGAACTAATGGCTTGGTGGCTCTGCTTCTCTGATCTGTCAGCTTTCAGCCCCTAATATCTGACTCCGGGTTTCTATTATTAAGACCAATTAGAAATTGAGCTTGTTTAATTAATATCTGCAACCATATTGTCTTCAAATTAAGTTCTGAAAATAGGAGTTTTATTCCATGATGTTAGAGGGACCCCTTGTACATACACAAATGTATATATTGCCTAAGTCTCATAAAAATATATAGTATTTACTTATAACTTGTGTATATTCTCTCATAGACTACCTTTAATACCTACTATGGCATAAATGCTGTGAAAATAACTGAAGTTATTGTATTGTTTAGAAAATACTTGAAAGGGAATAGATAAGTCTTTGTGTTGATTATGAAGAAATTAATTTTTTTTTCTAAATAATTTTTGATCAGAGGTTGATCAGATAAAGAACCCACTAATACAGAGAACTGATTGTAATTTTAAAACTGCCTGGGCATGACAGCACATGTCTTTAATCTTAGTCCTTAGGAGGCGGGGGTAGGCGGATCTCTCTGTGTTTGAGGCCAGTCTGGTCTACATAGCAACTTCCAGGGCTGCATATTTGAGACCCTGTCTTAAAAAAAGGAAAAAGATTAAGTAGAGACATACAGACAAAGAAGAAGAAACAGCATAGAATACAGCTGTCTAACTTCAAGAATGAGGCAGCCAAAAACATAAGATGAAATAGAAAATACATGTTGATTTAAGAGTTCAAATTAAAATTTTTATTAAACCACATTACTAAACAGTTGATCCATCAGTTAAGATTCACTGGGTGCTAAATGTATAGGGATTTTCTATTTTTAGATTTATTTGTAATTATGTATATGTGTGTGTGTCTCTGGGAGTTGGTGAGTGTCAGTGCCTGTGAAGACCAGAGACTCGGAAAGGCCTGGAGCAATTTCAGATAGTTGTGAGCCACCTGATGTGTATGCTAAGACTCAGACTCCAGTGCTTTGGAAGAGCAAGAAGTTCTCTGAGTTGCTGAGCCATATCCTTAGCCCCAGAAGTTTGGTTGTTAACTAAAGATTAAGGTTTAATAATCCTCCCTATCCCATACATGTGCATATTTTATATTTTTGGTTGTGAGCCTAGCCTTCTATGATGGCTGAGCCATCTCTCCAGACTGCATGTGCATATTTTCCCACATTTTGACCCAGGCAGAAAGACACCATAGGACTCCTTAGTAGCTCTCAGCCAGGACACCCTGTGGTTAAGATAGACTTGTGTCAGCCCGGGGTGGGGGTGGGGGTGGGGGGCTGGCAGGGTGGCAGCACCACAAGCCTTTGCCTTTATTCCCAGCACTTAGGAGGCAGAGCTAGGTGGGTTTCTGACTTCAAGGCCATCCTGGTCTACAAGAGCAGTTCCAGGACAGACTCCAAAAAAGATAGACTTAGACTTCTGTCTTGAAGTTAGAAGTAAATAAATAAGGGGTGGGGAGAACTAGGGTCGTCGTCTTTTTTTTTTTTAAGATGACTATCAAATATCCATTAAAAATGTCACTTAAAACATTTAGAAATTTAAAAGCGTATAGGACTCAGGAATGTGCATATTTCCTTAAAAATAGGATAATTTGATTATTTGATAGGGTTATTTGATAGGGTTTTTTCTTTCATGTATTTCTGATTAGTTTCCTGCTTTATTGCTTGTTTTAAGCCTTTATTTAGATAAGAAGAACCTGGTACTCCTCCAATTTTTTAAGTGGGTGAACTTTGAATTTCATTGTAATGATGTGATCTTGTTGTAATAATAATTTTAGGGTTGCTTAGCATTAGAATTAAGTTGGTGTTAAAACTTTAATCCCAAAGCACAGTTTTTTAAAATTTATTTATTTATTTATTAAGCGTATTGGTGTTTTGCCATGGGTGTAGAGTTCCCTGGACCTGGAGTTACATACAGACAGTTGTAAGCTGCCATGTGGGTGCTGGGAATTGAACCTGGGTCCTCTGGAAGAGCAGTCAGTGCACTGAGCCATCTCTCAGCCCCTTTAATTTTTTTTTAATTAGTTATATGGAAGTTCAAAATTGAACTGTTTTTAGAGATTTTATTTATTTATTTTTAAAAAAATTTTAGGACCATCCAAAATAAATTTAGAGAGAACACATGTTTATCTTTGTGAGACTGATAACTTTGTATATTTCTGTTGAATCTTAGGATGGAAGAGGCTTTAAAAAAAAATCTTTGTACTATAAACTTCATTCTTTGTGGTGTTGTATTTCTGTGAATCTTAACAATTGTATAGTATTGGCCACCACTCTATTCATGGTACAGAAGTTACTTTGTGCCGTAAATTCATTTTTGCTGATTTTTGTTGTTGTTGTGGTTGTTGCTTTTTACCCAGTCTCAACATCTGACTCCATGTAGGTGTTTTCTGTGTTACAGTTTCCCTACTTTGGTTTTAGTACTCAGTTTAGGACATTTCCCTTTAATAATTGAAACTAGCTATTTCAAACTCACTAACAAAGAAAAAAACTATATTATAAAGAGAATAAGAAATAAAAATCCAGTATTAGTGTATATTTTAAGAATAATTGGGCCTGTGAGATGCTTCAGCAGATAAAGGCATTTGAGACCAAACCTGATAATCTGAGTTCCATCACCTAAACTCGTGTTATGGAAGGAGAGAACTGAATCTTGCAATTGTTGCAATTGTGTGTGTACACACATACACACACACACACACACACACACATATGTACATCTAAATAAATGTAAAAACAAATTTCAAATAACTAAAAATTTTCAAATGCTAATATTTTTCTCTTTCTAGGTAAAATTAAGTATTCCGAAAGAGTCTATGAAGCTTGTATGGAAGCTTTTGACAGCTTGCCCCTTGCTGCACTTCTAAACCAACAATTTCTTTGTGTTCATGGTGGACTTTCACCGGAAATACATACACTGGATGATATTAGGAGAGTGAGTATAACCAACGTCTGAAGTTGGTTTCTTTTTACAGTATTCTTTTTTTTTAAGACTTAACTTATTATATACAGTGTTCTCTCTGCGTGTCTGCCTGCAGATCAGAAGAGGGCCCCAAGTCTTATTACAGGTGGTTGTGAGCCACCAAGTGATTGCTGGAAATTGAACTCAGGACCTCTGGAGAGCCATCTCTTCAGCCCCTGTTCACAGTATTTTTGATTTAGAAAGGTTTTTGTTTTTTAAGACAGGGAAATCTCTGTAGACCAAGATGACTTTGAAGTCAGAGATCTGCCTGCCTCTGCCTCCCCAAAGCCACCGCCCAGCTAGAGAGTTTTTAAAATCTTGAAATTTAGCATTAGATTTATTTTCACTGGTAAAATTAGGTAGTGATAAAAATTAGTGTTGTCGAGCAGTGGGGGCGCATGCCTTTAATTCCACCACTGGGGAGGCAGAGGCAGGCAGATCTCTGAGTTTGAGGCCAGCCTGATCTACAGAGTGAGTTCCAGGACAGCTAAAACTATAAAGAAAGTCTATCTTGGAAAAAAAAAATAATGTACTGGTTAATAGACTGATTTCAAAGAAATACCTCTTGATTGTTTAGAACAGTGTAGTGCAGACTGTATTAAAGTTGCTATCCCTTTCTTATATACTTTTTGTCTTCATTTGGTGAGTTATTTCTTCTTTGTGTCTTTTATTTGCAGTTAGATAGATTTAAAGAGCCACCTGCATTTGGACCAATGTGTGACTTGTTATGGTCTGATCCTTCTGAAGACTTTGGAAATGAAAAATCACAAGAACATTTTAGTCATAATACTGTTCGAGGATGTTCTTATTTTTATAAGTAAGGAAAATGTCCAAAACTAATCACATTTTAATTATGTAACATAATTTGTGCTTCATACAAAAAGGATGGTTTTACTTAATTTACTCTTTTCCCCCTACAGCTATCCAGCAGTGTGTGAATTTTTGCAAAACAATAATTTGTTATCGATTATTAGAGCTCATGAAGCTCAAGATGCAGGGTAAGAATTCTGTTTCCCTGACCCAAATTTACACTTGAATGCATATCATACTTAGTGATCATGATTGATGCTTTACGATGCATATTAAGCTATTTGTTTTGCAGCTATAGAATGTACAGAAAAAGTCAAACTACAGGGTTCCCTTCATTAATAACAATTTTTTCGGCACCTAATTACTTAGATGTCTACAATAATAAAGGTAAGATGTTGTTGATAAAAAGAAAAATCTGTATAGACAACTTAGCCTTTTAATTTACTTTAAAAAATATTAGGGGGCACTGTTTGAAACTGTCCAAGTCTCATAAACTAAGATATAAGGGAGGGGAGAGAAAAAGAAGTAAAATTGAAAATGTGCAACGAAGTTGTGTGCAACCTGCTCTGCAACCTGTTGCTCATAAAGCTATTTGTAAAAGTGCTCAGAGTTAAGCACAACCACAGATGATTTTGAGTTAAGAACAACCACAGATGATTTTCTTAAACCCCCTCACTTAAATCTTCTCTTATAACTGGAAGAATGTTTTCTTGTCTGTATAGAGTTGTTGCTATCACCGTTTTGTTTATTTGCAATGTCTGCTTGTTTATTGTGTTGTTTGCTTTATGTTCTTAAGTACAGGTTTTCTTGTTTTCTTTCTTTCTTTTTTTTTTTTTTGAGTTTTCTTTTGTCCCAGTAGTCTCTTTTATTACTGCCTCAAGATTTTATTTGAGCCTTAAAAAAAAAATCCCCTATGGTCTACTTTTAGAAAGCTCCCTCTCTTCTTTTCATTTGCCTTTAGATTTTTTTTATACCTTTCTTTACCTCCTTTTCCAGTGGCGTTCATTTTCCTTCCTTTGCTCTTAATTTTATTTGACTATAAAGATTAGATTTCATTTTATTCTTAACATAACTTACTGATTGAGATGCTTCAGGGTCATAATCTAGTTAAATATGTTCCAGGGACATGGAAGATGAGATGGGGCTTTGCATAGTTCATGTCTTCAGAGGAGAGAACTTAAAAGGCCAGCTTCTATTCTGTCTTGACATGTCTAGAATTCAGTTGACTATTTCATAGCTTCAGAGTCAGACTAGAGTAGATGTGCCAGGAGAAAACAACAGAAGGTTGATGATGTTAAAAAGTGCATTTAGAAAGATTATGAGGTCATTGCTAAATGGGTCATGGTTTGAAAGAGAAGAGTTTTTGGTGGTACTAGATGACATTTAAAAGATTAAACTTTATCTGGAATTTAACAGCATACTAGATCATTTTTATATAGAATATGCTATAGGAATATAGAGATACCTAATGAAATATGGCTTCATTTTTGATAAGGAGCATTCCTAAGGTCATCAAGAACAGAATTGATTGTTGCATCTGTCGGCTAGTACCCTTACTATTCAGCTGTGTTTTCTCTTAATGTAAAAGTCGCGCTGAGTCAGTGTTTAGTTGACTGCTGCCTTCGTGCCTGTTCTCATTCAGTTGAGCTTAGGAAGCTTAGGAAATCGGTTTTTTATAATTTTCAAAACTGAAACTCAAACCAGTGAGTCTGCTCTGTCAGAATCAAATGTCTCAGTATTTCTGATTTGTGCATAATTGATGCCTATGATTTGAGTGTTCATATTAGAATGGCCATCTTTGTGATCTTTCATTCCCACCCATAAGGCAATTTTCTAGATTTCTTATTTTTTCTCTTTTTCTCCTTTAAATAAAAAGTCTGAAATGTTAGTATCAGCCCATAATTTCTGAGGCTACTCTTAAAATATTTTCATTCAACATATGAGTTGGTTAAGGGGGGAGACATACCTATTGAATTAATGGTAACCCAGAGCAAAGTTGCTTTTGGTTCTATGCTAACCAGAAGTTTAAATGTTGAATTTAACATCTCTATTTCAGTGCTTTTTATTAAAATAAAAGGGAGAGGAAAATAACCCTCCCACATACTCATAAGATGAACAGGCCTTTGTGGCCGTGTTTCCCTGTCTGAAATCCTAAGCACCAGGCAACTTAATCATGAACTGAAATCTCAAAATTACCAGCCAGAGAAAACCTTCATTTCTGAGTTGAAAAAAAAATCACACATTTCTAAAATACTTCATGGGCTAGAGAGTTGGCTCACAGCCATAAATAAAATACTTTGTACTTTTTTAATGGTTTCATGTGGAATACATTCTCTGATTTAAACTTTTGAGATATAGTAGATATTTTGGTTTCATTTTATAAATGAACAGACCACTTAAATGATCACCTGTTGCATAGCTAATACATTCTGCATTCTAGCCCTTCTAATTCCATGTTCCACAAAGTAAAATAACCAGTACCTGAAGTTTAAGTTGATTATGGCTTATAATTGTATTGGGATATTAGGAAGATATCTAAAATTGAGGTCAGTATGTATCCTTGGATTATTTAGTTACATTGTTTTTCTCTTCTGGTTATTTTAATAGATATTTTTTTCCCTAAATGAAGTAAAATGTTTGTTTGATGTAGTTTCACCTGATTTTATATACTAAGTGAAATAAACACATTTATAAATTCATAATTTCTAAATTGGTGGTTTTTTAATTGCCTTGTTGAATTTAGCTGTTCCTATTAGCTTGCTTGCAATTAAAAGAATCTTTTTAAATTCTTCAATTTTGTGAGATTAAAAAAAAAAACTAGAAAATTGCCCATTGCCATTCTGTGTTTCCCCTAAAAACTGATTTTCACAGTTTTCGGTTTATTAAAGTGCATGTTCATCATTGGATTATAGAGTAAAACAAGTATTCTGGAAAGAATCTGAAAATTTCATTAATAATGGGTAAACATTTTATATTTTTATGTATTTTAAATTGGGCATGGTGTTACATACCTTTAATATTAGCACCCAGGAGGCAGAGACAAGCTGAACTCTGTGAGTTCAAGGCTGACCTGGTCTACATAGTGAGTTCCAGGCCAGCCAGGGCTATACAGTAAGATCCTGTCTACAGAAGAAAAATAATGTGTATTATTGCAAAAAATTTATTTCTGTCTCCTACTACCAAGCCCGGATTCTACTTGTCCCTCTACCTTAAACGAATACTATACTTTATGTGTTTGATGCTCTTCAGCCTAAAGACAGTTTGCTATATTGATATTCAACTTATCTTGCAGCTGCTGTACTAAAGTATGAAAATAATGTGATGAATATTCGACAGTTTAATTGTTCTCCGCATCCTTACTGGTTGCCCAATTTTATGGATGTCTTCACATGGTCTTTACCATTTGTTGGAGAAAAAGGTTTGTTTTTTGTTTTGTTTTACAAAATAATTATTTCACCTCTTTTACATTTACTCAAGTTTACTATCATAGACACATACTTGCTAGAGGAAACTGAAGCCTGACTCCACTGTGCCTACAGCACTACTTGTGTCTGTGGCTGTGAATATGACAGCCTCAAAGATATTTTGGTTCGATGTTTATAGCCCCAATGTGAGGATGGGGACTGGGAGAGGATTTATAAATAGCCTGATGTTGTCTTCAGCTGTTGGATTTTCTTTCGTTTTGTCTTAAGCCTAAATCTTTATGGAGGGTTAGCTTTGGTTTGGAACGGACACTTCCTGCGTATATTTTCTAATACCACTTGTGGAGATTTCACAGCAGTTTACTGGAGAATGTAATAGTCTTCATTTTGTCAATGTTAGTTATTTTATAGTACATCTGTATTCTAAGAGAAGTAGAGAAATCCAGGTTCTGTCTAACTATGAAATCTAAATTCTCCTATATCAAAAATATGCATCTATTTTTACTAATGATGCTTTCTCACAGATGTTGAGAAATAGCCATTAGAACTTTTACCTTTGAGAAATAACTGTTAGGGTTTTAAAGAGAAAATAAATTCTTTAAGAATTTTTTCCCCTAGTTTTGTAGAATTTGGATTTTGTTGCCTTCTTTTTCATATTAGTGTTTATTCTTTTTTCTTTTTTTTTTTTAACAAGGCAGTGCATTAGATTTCATATGTGGTAAATTGACAATCTGAGAAGAGAGATAGAATTATAAAACATTTTGTTCTATACCCCCTCTGTTTCACACCTCTTCCGTGTTACAGAATGTTCCTTTTTTTTTTGTGATAGTCACCACTTCCAAGGCAATTTTTGATTCTAAAATTCAGAATTAATAATGACACTGTGCATATTAGAATTTTTGCAGATTGCTTTTCCTCTTCTGCATGTACTCAGTAGGTCTGATGTTACGTTTATAGGAGATAGAGTTACCCATTTAGCATTTGAGAAGGGGACTAGTTAAGGGCTTAGGTGGAAAGGATGCATTACACTTACAGCCTATCTTTGGGGTATGAGAAATAGTTCACTCATAGCATCATCAAGCTAAAAGGAATTTAAGAATTCATCTCCCTCATTTTGTTGTCTCTAGGCTAGATTGCAGCTCAGCTACTTTAATATAAGATTATGAGAATGGAGGATGGGGATCAGAAGGATAAAGAGGAAAATGATCATTTGTAGATTCTAATTTAGTTATCTTATACCTCCTTGTACTATTTCATAATAGCTAATATTTCTGCTATGAATGTTTAATCAAAACAGATCATATATAGCCTGTAAGTGTATTTAATCATTTATATTGTCTACTTCTTATTGAGAGATCAGAAAATTTAAGCTGATTTCTGTTTGTCTGCTACAAGTGAAAAGAGGATGGAGAGCAATAGACTCTTGTTGATGTTCCTACATTTGGTTGCTACCAGATGATCTTTAGAAAAGAAAAAAGGGAGGATTGGTAAAGCTGGGCATAGTGCCTTTTTCCTTAATACCTCCATTCAGGAGGTGGAGGCAGGAATATTACTGCAAGTTCAAAGCCACATTATGCACTTCAGGTCATCCATGGCTACAGAGTGAGACCTCAAACTATTGGCAATCTTGCTTTGACCTCTAAAGTATTGGATTATACTCACTAGCCATTTCCTCTCTTTTTCACAACTGCTTTCTAATTTCATTAAAAAAAAAAAACAAAAACAAAATGGAGTTGAGTTAGTGAGCCACACTTTTTAAAAAAATTATTTAGTTTTAGTTTATGTACACTTGTGTTTTGCCTGCATATATGTCTGTGAGAGAGTGTCATATCCCCTGGAACTGAGGTTACAGACAGCTGGTGAGTGTCATGTGGGTTCTGGGAATTGAATGCAGGTCCTCTGGAAGATCAGCCAGTGCCCTTAACTTTTAATCTCAGCACTTGGGAGGTGGAGGCATGAGGATCAGGAATTTAAGGTCATCCTTGGCTATATCTTGAGTTTGAGGCAGATCTGGACTAGCTTCCCCCTAACCCACTCTGCCCAGAATCTCAATACTGGAAAAATTTTAATGTATATTGATACTATGAATTCCTGTGTACTAATTATTCACCTTGTACAGTTATCAAATCACCACCAACTCTTTATCATTAATATTCCTATTCAGTATTACCTTTGTATATCTAAGCTGTTTTGAAGCATTTTTGTCCATACCTATTTCAGACTTTATCTTTAAAATACGGAGACTCATTTTTAAGTTTACATTAAAACATTTGTTAATTTCTTAATACAAAACATATTCATTTTTAGAAAGGGAAAATTGATATGTAAATATATGTATATGTAGAGAACATTTTTTATATCTTCCTGTTTTGCGGGTTGGGTGTTTCTAGACAGGGTTTCTCTGTGTAGCCAGTCCTGACTCTCCTCAAACTCAAAGATCCTCCTGCGTATACCACCACAGCCCTGCTCATATTTTCATATAGCTGAAGTGAATTGGTAAACTTTTGTTTATTGCCCCTAATTTAAGGACAATATAGTAGACAATCTTGCAAGATTTTTTTTTTTTTGAGACAGTTTCTGTCTATGAAGCTCTTGTTGCTTAACCTAGACTTGACCTGATTACCTGATTTCATGATCCTCTTGCTTCATTCTCCCCAGATTACTGGTCTATGCCACCAGTCTTAATTTAGCAGTCATTTCTTTAAAAGAAAAAACTTTTGAAAGGCTTCACAAAACTACAAGTTATCTTTGTAGGTGGCGGGGTGGGGGCATGTATGGTCTCCATGGATTGTTATAGACATTTCATGTGAATGGAGTAATACAATATGTAGGTTTTTATTTGTACTGGCTTCTTTCTAACATCCTCCCCTTTTTTAAAAAAATTTATTTGTGTATATGAGTGATCTATTGACTTTATACCAGAAGAGGGCATCAAATCCCACTATAGATGGTTGTGAGCCACCATGTGGTTGTTGGGGATTGAACTCAGGGCCTCTGAAAGAGCAGCCAGTGCTCTTAACCCCTGAGCCATCTCTCCAGCCCCTATTTTGGTTGTTTTTGTATAAATGTTTTTATGTAAGCCGGTACAGATAGTGTGGGTGCCTATGTATGCACAGACATGTGGAAGCCAGAGGACAATCTTGGGAATGTCATCGTTTATTCTTTTGTCTTCTACATTGATATAATTCTTAAGAATTACCTAACCCATAAAGATTTACCTTTGTAACTGTGTGTGTGTTTTATAATTTTAGTGACCTCTGTTCCATCTTGAGCTAGTTTTCATACTAGTGTACTATGGATGGTGTCTGACCTGTTCTTTTTCAGTAGATAGACAATTTTTGAAAACTCTTCTTTATGGGCTGATTTTGACATTAACTGTAAACTTTTATTTCTGGAGTCTCCGCTACTTTTCATTTACCTATGAGACTATTTTATAGTTTTTGTGACTTCTTCATAAAATGTGTTTTCTCTCCTGGAAAACTGAAGACTAGTTTATAATTCCTCTCAGATGTTATTTATTGAAACTTTTGTATTTCTTAGCAGAGCTTTGGTCTCTCTGAATTCCAGTTTCTCAAAGTTATTTTCTATTTCCTTGTTTTCATTTTAAAGTTTTTCAGTTTTTAAAATTCTGTCATTCCTGCCATTACAAGGTATCCTATTGAATTATTGCTGTGCATATATGTGGGCAGTTGTATATAACCATCTAACATATCACTTTCTTTTCTTTTTGAATAGTAACTGAAATGTTGGTAAATGTTCTGAGTATTTGCTCTGATGATGAACTAATGACAGAAGGTGAAGACCAGTTTGATGGTATGAATACTCATTTACTATTTTTATTATGAAATGATAGCTCTTTAACTACTAAGTCTCAGTACGATCTATTTCAGAAAAAAAAAAGTCATTACTTTCCGGTGGCTATACTATTTGATAAGTGAGATTCATTCATGCGCTCCCTGCCCCCCACACACATATTTTAAGTTTTGGGAATAATATTAGGTGTTTTTTGTAGTGATGTGGGACTTTTCAGAAAGGGGAAGTTTGGAAGAAGAACAAAACAGAAAAATGGAGATTGAAAGGATGCGGTTCTTGATGAGTATGGACATTAATTTTGATATGAAGAGGTTATTTAGTACTGTGTTTATAGTACATCAGAAACATTTCTGGACTCCCTAGTATTGTTTTCATTTTTTTTTTTTAACCAATGTAGACTGTTCTCATCCTAGTGTGGTTATGTTCTAGAAGACCACTTATAGTTTGCTAGAAATTCTGAAAGTTTTTCTTTTTCCATGGAAACAAGATTTATATGTGATTGTCTGCCAAAAAAGCTTGTGTACCAAATGTATATTTGTAGTATAAAGGAATACCATTAAAATTATTTGGCTTTATGTTTTGAAATTTTTACTTAATAAATTTTTAAGCTACTTAAATTTTAACAGTAAAATATAAAGATAAAGTAACTTAAAAGCTGAAAACTGTTGCATTCCTTATTCTTCTTATGTTTTTATTTTTTTTAAGATTTATTTATTATGTATACAACATTCTGCCTCCATGTATGCCTGCATGCCAGAAGAGTGCTCCAGATCTCATTACAGATGGCTGTGAGCCACCGTGTGGTTGCTGGGAATTGAACTCAGGACCTCTGGAAGAGCAGCCAGTGCTCTTAACCACTGAACCATCTCTCTGGTCCCTTATGTCTTTATTTTTGTACTTTTTGTAGTGTACTTATTTTTCTGGTTGTCAGTATTCAGATTCTTTCTTATGGTGATTATGGTCTACATGTTGGTAAGATTTAATAGGAAGATATAGTATCTTTGTTTTCTTTTATTTTCACCCTCCCCCATTTTGAAACAGTCTCTTATACTTTAGGCTGGTCTCAAAACTCATCCTGTAGCTTATGACCTTGAGCTCCTAATTCTTTATTTCCTACTTATTTGTATTATAGGCATTATCTCATACCTGACTTGTTCTATTGTGTTCTTGCTGTATAGCAAAGGCTAGCTTGAAATACTGATCATCTTGCTTTTTAACCTTTTTTCCTCTCTCTCGCTGAGCTGTATTATTGATATGTAACACCACATTTGATGTATGGCCATGCAGTGGGGCTTGAACCTAAGGCTTTGTGCATGCTAGACAACCCTCTCCCAACTTAGTTATAACCCTAGCCCTCCTCCATTTTTTTCAGAAAGGTCTCAGTATGTAGCCCAGGCTGGCATAGAACTATGGCCAGCCTACCTGTCTACTTAGTGCCAGGGTATCTGACACATGTTACAATCATGTCTGAGTGAAGTTTAATTTTAAACCCATTTGTTTGTTGCAATACAAGTGTTGCTATTGCCATGTACTGGTGGCAGGCAGAGTTAATGCTTTTATTACTGTAGTTTTACTAATACCTTAAAAAGCAAATTTATGTCAGCTGTGTTTTGGGAGGGTTGGCAAGTAAACATTTTTTTCTCCCATAAGTATTTTAAAATATTTCATTACATATGGCTTTTTTTCTTTAAAAAAAAAAAGTGAGTAGTTGTAATTTTCTTCTGCCTGTTCTGCTATCACTCTTCTAAGGAAAGATCTAGGTTCAGAAAATGAATCTGAGGAAAATTAGTTAATCTTTGGGGGTTATACTTCCTTCATCAGTTTGAGGATAATAATAACTGTTGATAATGTTACAGGTATTGAGATAATATTGAGGTGGTGATTGAAATGATTCTTACCACATGCCTTGTTTGCTCAGTTAAAGTTTTTTGACAATTTGTCAAATTCTTTGAATTATCCAGTGGTTATTTTAATTGGTTTTATATTAACTACATTTGAACCTAGAGTATTTTTTCAGTAATATTTACCTTTAAATTAAAGAATTCTTATTCTATGAAATTAATCGACTTACTGAAATTTACTCCACTGAATTTATAATTATTCCAATTAGAATTAGATGAGGTTTTTTTGCAATTTTATTTATTTGTATTTTTGTGTGCATGAGTGTTTTGCTGTATGGACATCTCTGCACCAAGGGTGTACAGTATTCATGGAAGCCAGAAGAGGAAGTTGGATCCTCAAACTGGAGTTGCAGACAGCTTTGAACTGCCATGTTGGTGCTGGGTATCGAACCGAAATAAGCAATCAGTGCTCTTCACCGCTGAGCCATCTCTGCAGTCAGAATTAGTTTTTTCTTTTTAACATTAAGTTAAATTGGAATTGAAATTAGTATTTTTTTTAATTTTGTTCTCACTACTATTCAACTGACATTTCTTTCTTTTTTAAATAGCTTATTTTTATTTTATGTTCATTGGTATTTTACCTGCATGTATGTCTGTGTGAGAGTGTTGGATCCCCCGGAGGTAGAGTTAAATCCAGGTCCACTAGAAGAACAGCCAGTGCTTTTAACTGAGCCATCTCTCCAACCCCTCAACTACCTTTTTTTTTTTTTTTGCTTTTTTTGAGACAGGGTTTCTCTGTAGCTTTGGAGCCTGTCCTGGAACTAGCTCTTGTAGACCAGGCTGGTCTCGAACTCACAGAGATCTGCCTGCCTCTACCTCCCGAGTGCTGGGATTAAAGACGTGCGCCACTACCACCCGGCTTTAATTTTTTTATATAACTTCTAAAAATATGTCATTTGCGTTAGGCTGATAGTATTGCATAATTTATTGTCATTTTCTTTCAGTGTTTTTATAAGTATTGCCAACAGCGTATTAGTAGTAGTAGTTCATTTTCTTGTAATAAAAAAGTCAAAAGTTTCATAGTTAATATTAACTTAGTACTTGGTTTGGGTACCTATAGTTTATATAAAGATAAATGTGATTGATTTTAAAGATTTAACAAGGGATAAACAAAGCTTTTATTAATTGTTTCAAACAAACTAAGAAAATTCACCATGTGCCTAAAGCATAGAACAATTGGAATATATATTCCTTTTTAAAGAGATTTTATTTATCTTAATGTTTTTCCTATTAATAAGACATAGGATAAATTATGCCAACTTATTTATTTGTTTTATTATTCTTGCATTTCAGGGCTGAATTAAATGTCATCATTAAAGAGGCAGTATCATTTGATGAAAAAGATAATGGTTTAGTAGTACCTTTCTTTTTTTCTTTTTCCCTTTTTTTTTTTTTTTTGGTTTTGTCTTCTTTTTGTTGAGGCAGGGTTTCTCTGTGTATCTGACTGTTCTGGGACTCCCTCTGTAGACCAGGCTGTCCTCAAACTCAGAGATTCGCCCTCCTCTCTGCCTCCTAAACACCTTTCAATTTTATTTGTAACTATACAGTCTTGGAAAAGTCACTCAACTTTTTAAGATCTTCTCATTTATAAAGAGAGAGAACAGAAAAGATGACATTTTAATCTCAAGTAACTTTTACAATTTTCAGCACCATTTATGATAGTATTTCTATGGCAAAATACAGACTTCTGTTTTGAATACTAGAAATAGATCCCTTACTGTTAGCATCATAGATGCAATTACTTCTCAGTTTTTTCACCCTTTCATTAACCAGGTTATTAGTATCAGGAATTCTAAGAAAAGAATAAAAAAGTATGAATCAAGGAGTTTGCATAGAGGAATAGGAGTGAGTATTTGGGAGAGAAACCTTAAAAGAGTGGAAGAAGGTGGAGGGTGTTACGATAGATGCTAAAGTTTAGCATAGGACCCAGAAAAGAACTAGAAGCATGCTACCGCCATTCTTCATCATTTCTTTCCCTTTATGCTTTCTTTCTCTGTCCCTCCTTTCTCCTTTCCTTTCCTTTTTGTTTGCTTGCTTGTTTGTTTGTTTGTTTTTTGAGACAGGGTTTTTCTGTCTAACCACCCTGACTGTCCTGGAACCTGCCCGTAGACCAGGCTGACCTTGAACTCACAGAGATCCACCTGCCTCTGCCTCCTGAGTGCTGAATTAAAGGCGTGCACCACCACGCCTATCCTTTCTCCTTTCCTTTCATCATAATGGCTTGATTTATCATCTCTTCTCATTCTCTTTTCCTGTGCCTCAGTGAAGCTATTCTACGGATCTGGGAAGAAATCTGACTTTAGAAAGAAAACTTGATAAAATGTGGTTTGGGATGGAGGTCGAATGAGGGTTTTGTTTTTCTTTAGAGAAAGGGAGGAAGTAGGATTAGAGATTTTCCAGAAGCAGGGAAAAAAGAATAGTTTTTAGATATTTGCTTTTGAGATTTGTTGAAATAGATAAAGGCTTTTGTTGATGGCTCTTTGATATTCTGTATTGTTTGCTTCATACTTGTGTGAGTAGTTTTTTTTTTCAAGATAAAGATGCATAAACATGGCATATAAAAATCTGTAGCATCCTTTTTAGAGGTGTTAATCATGAAAGAATTTTTGAGCACTAATTTCTATGATATTTAGAATGCATACATTTCTAGATGTTTATCTTTTGTCTTCAGTTTGGTTAAAGAAATGCATAATCTATGTATTAACAATGCCACTAAATAAAACTCTGTGGTTCCTATAATGCAAACGTGTATCTTAGCATTAGAGTGTAGGATCTGGAAAACTCAAATAAAACCACCTACACTGTCTACTTTTAAAGCTGTTTACTTGCTTTGAAGCAATCTGTTGCTATTTTTGCTAAAGGTGTCCCCCTGTCCCAAGATTGGATTGGGAACAAACAGAAAATAATTAATTTTGAATATATGCAAACATTCTACTATTCAGATTCAAGAAATCATGTCATCTTGTGATGGAGTATGGGAGGTTTAGCTTTTTCTTTATTGTAAGTGGGTGAGCCTTTCTACTGAGGAAAGTTACTCATATTTTCTGTACATGCTACAGATTTTGCATATATTGGTGTCCTTGAAGAGTCACATTAGTTTGTATCTTATTTGTGTCCTTGCTTTTTCACTTAACGTACTTTCATGGGCGGCGTATTTAATTAGGGTTATTACTATAAATGTGTGATTGTTAGCACAGTCTTTTATTGGTCTTATGTGTTTTCACGTGATTTTTTTTCTGTCCCTAATTATGTCTACTTTCATCAAAAATTATAATCATTCTATTCATATTTCTTTCTGAACACATATCTTTCAAGAAATCTTTGCTTTAGAGCTCTACCTTGTAGCATCTGTCTTTAATTTACCAAATTCTACAGTACTACATTTTTCAAATAGAAGGGCCTTCATTTTTTCTCCCTTTCTTTATACATTCATCCTTCAATACCACTGCCAAGTTAAATCTCTATCTTTTTATTTGTCTCAACCACCTTTTCTCCATCATTCACTTCCTTTTTTCTGGACTCTCCATCTGAAGAACGGCTCATATATGGCAATAAAAAAGGTACAGACCAGACAGAGTAACATTGTTTTGAAATATGACTTCATAAGTTTCCTCATGTCCATGTAAGTTGGCATATCTGTTGAATAATGTTTTGAGAGTCTTTTGGGGCCTTTTCCAAATTTAGCCTGACTCTTAACATGAGTTAGTGTTTGATATTTTAGAAGTCATATTCCAAGACATCTGTCTTTCTGTGCATGGAAATAGTTTTCCCTCTTTTCATTCCTCTTGTTTTAAAATTTCATTCTTTTGCTTATTTGTAATGTTTTGTACTTTTTCCTGCATGATTAGGGGTGTTTGATTGTCTGTCTTATTCCCCAAAGTACCTTTAAAGTGGACATTTGCTTTAATATGATGCATGATGTGTTTGTAGACTGATTTTAAATCCTGATTTGTACAGTGTGTTTATATTTCTTAAAATTTATTTGAATTCAATATAATTTTCATATCATTCGATTTTACAAATATGTAAATTAAGGCTATAAATACAAGTGTATGTTGTTATAGCTATCCTTTTCAACCTGTTTCTCCTTATACAAATCAAAATATTTAAAAATTTCTGCCAATTTAAAAATGAAATATTTGTATTAATTTATTATAAGGAAATCAGACTTTGTATCCTTGGAAAAGTTGTTTAATGATCTCCTCGGGGTCTTTAGTCCATAAAATAAGGAAATATCTCCAGTGTATCTTCAGATTCTAATATTCTTTGATACTTAACCTTTTTTTCTTTTCTTTTTTTTCTTTTTTATCTGAAGAGCATCTCTTTGATATTGTAATGACCACATAGTTTTTTGTTTTTGTTTTTTGTTTTTTTTTTTTTTTTTTTTGGTGCTTTAGTGCTCCCAGTGTTTCAGTATTACCCTTTAGAGAATAACAAGGTAATTGGAGTCCTGCTCTCTAAATATATGCTGTTTTCATCCTTGAAATTGGACTTCTTTTTTTCCTTTTAATTAAGTCTAGTTATGATCTTAGTTTTTAATTATATGTGTTTGTAGTCTGCTTGAATTTTAAAGGAAATGCTCTCACCTACAAGACTTCTGATTGTTTAGACCTCTGCATACCTAAGATCCATTTTGCTCTAGCTTCTTAGGCCTTTCCTTGACCTCCTCAACAGTGGTGCTTCCATGTGCATGTTTTCATCATGTTGAAGCACAGGTTTAAGGAAAAATGGGTCCAGATTGACTCTGATTGCTATATATATGGTAACAGGACTGAGATTATTGTTCTTGCTGGAGACCAAGACCTTTGAAGTGACCTTTGAAGTGCCTTTGGCCAGCCATGGAGTCAGTTCTTTTGGTGTATTGTTTAGCCAGCTTTTTGAGGGAGTTTCTTCTTACTGTCTGTTTCACATTCAATGCCTATGGTTATAAAAGCATAAGTATACTTGCATAAGTATGGAGGCCAGCTAATCCATGAAGTTGAGATATTCACTGTTGCTGAAATACTGCTGTAGTCCCTACTTTCTGATCAACATTGTAGTTATTATTTCCCTTTGAACATTATTTATAGATTAACTTAGAGTCACGAAGCTTATTCTTTTATAATAAGAGATATTTCTAGTGTGCATGTTAAAGGCTTTTGTGGTAGTTAAACAGTTTTCCATTTGTCTTAGTCTGCATGCCATAGGCTCCCATGAAAATTTAAAAGTGTAGGATTGTTCTAGTTTTTTCTCTGGTTTGGAATTCAAGTTGGGCTCAAGTCTTCCTAACCCAACCCATACTCCCTTTACTCTTTTCTTGACTAGTCAGTGTTGTGAGATAATTAAAGTTTGTGAATTGTTCTTATCAGACCCCAATATTTGACTAGTATTGAGCTAATAATTGAGGGAATGAGAAACTTTCTGGCATGATTTCATCTAGTGTCTTCCATGTGAGCTGGTAGCAAGAGACCTGGTATTGGTTTAGATGAGTCTGGAATAGGCTAGTAATGCTTGAGTGCCCTAAACTTGAACCTTTTTTCTATTTATTCCATTGAAAGTAGGTTCAGCTGCAGCCCGGAAAGAAATCATAAGAAACAAAATTCGAGCAATTGGCAAGATGGCAAGAGTCTTCTCTGTTCTCAGGTACTGATACATTTTCCTGATTGTTTTGCAGAAATTATTTTACTGTATCTTATGATCATTGTTCTGTTTGATACCTAGAAGCAATGTGGTTTTCTATTGGAATGAATTGTAAATTTATACACAGATGAGGGGAATAGAAGTTCCTTTGAATCTGGTAGTGGTTTGTTTGCTTGCTTGTTTTGTTTTGTGGTGCTGGAATCACACGCAAGACCTAAATCATACTAAGCATGTAGTCTGCCACTGAAATTAGGGTTTGTGGCCTTTGGATCTTGCTCTTGGAATAAAAGCACTAAATCCACACTTTGAAAATCAGATCAGGATAAGATTCTTGGTGAATTTTCTCATCCATATAGGATATCTGTTTTGCTAGAGTACAACGTGCCTTCCTGGGGTAAAAATTCAAGAAGAGGTTTCAGGAAAACATTATGTATTTCAGTTGTAATGTGTCTACCCTCCTAAATGAAACATTTAAAATATGGGAAAATATGTATGTTGGAATTGAGGGGAAAATGTAAACAATGAATGTCATGAATTATGTACATAGCCTATATCTGGGCCCTAGCCCTTCTTTTAAAGTAAGCATTTATTGATAGATTTTTTTATTTTGTTTGGTTTTGCTTTTTGCAGTTTAGAGAATCAAGCCCAGTGCCCTGTGCATGCTAGGCAAATGCTGTGCCTCTGCACTACTAACTCTTCTAATACGTGTTACATTTCTCTGCTGTAGGGAGGAGAGTGAAAGCGTGCTGACACTCAAGGGCCTGACTCCAACAGGGATGTTGCCTAGTGGAGTGTTGGCTGGAGGACGGCAGACCTTGCAAAGTGGTAATGATGTTATGCAACTTGCTGTGCCTCAGATGGACTGGGGCACACCTCACTCTATTGCTAACAATACACATAATGCTTGCAGGGAACTCCTTCTGCTTTTTAGTTCCTGTCTCAGCAGCTGACATAAGCAGGGTACTATACGATAGGCAGTATCTGATTAGTACCTGGTCAGGGCATAATATTGATAGAACGGGTTGTCTTTCAATTGAAAATAATGGTCAGTTTCCCAACTTTTTATAAAATGATATGGGAACATCTCATGTCATAATTCTGAAATATTTATTGATACATTTGTCTAATGCACCTTTTTCTTTTAAAAACCTCAGTCAAGAATGTGAATCAGGGATATACATATTACTAAAATGGAAATGTAATTCCAACTTTAACTTTTAAAATTTATATAATTGTATTAGATTATGCTTACATTTTCAAGTATTTGATTTTTGAGTTAAAATTCTGCTTAGACCCAAAAATTTCCTTTATGCACTTCATTTGCTAAAAGATTTATGCCAAGTTTTGTACCCTGGTAAATGATTAGAGTTTGTTTTCTGTGGTGTTTGTCAAATGTTCTATGTATAATTGACTGTCTGTAACATGCTGTTTTCTTCCTCTGCAGATAGAGCTGCTTTCCTAAATCTGTCTGTCTTTCTTTAGGGTAGCTGTATGTCTGTAAATATATGTTCAATTAAATTACTCTATCAGACGCTTGTCTGTCTTTTGATGTAGAAGCAGCTTTGTAGCACCTTGATTTTAGGTTTGCTGCATTTGTTCATGCACTTGGTGCATTCTGAACATGAATGTAACATTAGATATTAAGCTATTGTTATAAAGGGTTGAATTTAAATCCTGTAAGTCAAAATTGAAAGGGTGTTATTAAGTGTGCCTTTATTTTGCATGAAAATAAAAAAATTATACGTAAAGCATTCCTGTAATCTGGCTCGTTGAATATTTTATGTTTTTTAAAAAGCTAACTTGATTGTTTTAGTATCTGTGTAAGTCCTGGGTAAACTTTGAAAGCCCATTATAGATTAAATAGAATAAAGTGCTGTGAATATTGCAGCCCATACACAATAGTGCACAGTCTCAATGTCTTTAAAAATTGTAATGTGGAAAAAACTATACATAGAGCCACTTTGACATCCCTCCAAGGCTTCTTGTTCTATTAAAACATGCAGTGATAGATCTGTTGTCCATAATACATTTTTTTGGGTGTATTTTGTGAATTTTTTTAAAGTGAAGAAAAAAAAAGAAATTCCCTTATGTCATTTTACTCAATTCAAAAAGAATCCTTTTTATTTAAAATAATTTTTGGTAGACAAATAATTTTATCCTATATGTGTTCTATTTTATGTTATTCTATTGTCTGTTGTTTACCACTGGTGCAAGCAAGTTCAACTAAGTACAGTAATGGCTTTCTGATTGAGTAGAAACCATATATAGCTTCAGATTTTTATGCTGAATGAGGGTTTTTTGTTGTTGCTTTTTTTGTTTTTGTTTTGTTTTTTAGTTTTTGAAATAATTCAGAACCTTGAACATTATTGTACCACTAAGCTATATTCCCTTCCCAAGATTTCTTTTTCCTTTTCTTAATTTTGGATTTGAACAAACTGTTTCTGATCTTCTTTATTTTCTTTGCCCTCTACTTTTCCTTTACAAAAATTTTAAATGCCAAAGAGAATTTCATAAATTTAATTTAAACATTAATAAAACCTTAAATATTCAATACAAATTACAAAATTGTTGCTAGTAAAGGATAATTCTAATAAGAAAAAATATGCCCGTTTAAAAAAGAAAAACACAAAATTAAAAGATAGCATATTTAAATAAATCTACTTGTTAGTTTTACATTGTATCCATGGCAAACCATGCTTTCAGATTTCTCAGTTAGCACCTGCTAATTACATGCTTTGTTGACAGCTCAGTACTTCTATTTATTCTTACTTTGCATGAAGCCTGAAGCTCATTCCTTCAACTTGGAAACCACCCTCAGCTGCAGGGAAGGTTTGAAAGACAGCAGCTTTGTTGAAGGGACTGTCTGTTCCTATCCTAGAGTGAATTACTGGAAGGAGCTGAGCTTAAGGTGTCTAATTTGGGAAACTGGATAGCTCCCTAGTTCTACTAGGGATGACTCCTGATGTTATGTTATGCTTTGAGCATTTGGTTGAAGTTATTTCCCTAGCATATGAAAACTTGTTTTAAAATAAGTAACAGCTCATATAGAAACTACATCTTTGAGATTTTTTTTTACTTGAAAACATTGTTTTAAATCTCTATAGATAGAGACTCTAATGTGTATGTATGACTGAGAGATAATATGAAATTAAATTTAATTTTGAACCTTCAAGACTATTTTCAGAACATAGAAATTACCTTTTCAGTATCTTTTAAATTTTTTTCTTTTATTTTTTTGAGACAGTGTCTCACTGTATAGCCTTGACTGGCCTGGAGTTCACTATATAGACCAGGTTTTCCTCGTACTCATACAGGTCCTCCAGCCTCTGTTTCATGAGATACAAATCCTCTAGCCCCTGCCTCCTGGGTGCTGGAATCAAAAGCATAAGCACCACCATGCCCAGCTTCTTTTTAGTATCTTTGAAGCTAATTCATATGTTATTTTTGGGTGGAGGGGGTTGTTGCTGTTGTTTTAAAAACTACAACTCAGCTGTACTTCAATTTTGGAGTTTTGTAATTTTTTTCATGGTAATTTCATTGGGAATTAGTCTTATAAATCTTTGCATATCATATTTTCCTATGTGGGAAAATATCTAGCTATCTCTATTTTAATAATGCCAAATTCCTGTTGATTGTTCTTTATTGTATTGAAGAACATAATAGTTAAAGGCAGTGCTATACTGATACTTACTAATTAGCACTGTGTTCTGTGTAAATGAAAATAAAGGAGAAGTACAGTATGGCTTTCAGTATGACTCAATTGTATAGTTATCATGTTTCATCCTAGTTTACTATTTAAACTTCAGATGTCCATATTTCAGTTCTGAGCCTTTAAACTTGACAGAGTATATAACTTACTGTCAAGTTTCATAGCTTAGAGTTTATCAGTAGAATTTTAGACTTTTGATATAATTAAATGATACTAATTCTCTTAATGAAGTCAATTTTAGTCTTAATTTATCATACACAAGTTATAGAATGTTTACTACCAGTCTCTTCTGCTATCACAACTCTTAAACCATATTCCAATAGACATTTTTTCTTCTTTTAACTTTAAATTACAAAGTGTTCACATTATGAAGGGGGTTGATGATGAATGTTCGAGAACTGATAAATATATACGGGTCTTTTTTTCATTCTGTTTTGTATATTTTTGTTTGTTTGTTTGTTTGAGACAAGGTCTCACTGTGTAACCCTGGCTGGCCTGGAACTCTCAGAGCTCCACCTGCCTAAGTGGTGGGATCAAAGGATGGCCACTATGCCCAGGAAGAGGGATCTTTTGTCCTAGTTTCCTCTCTGGAAAAATTTTGTACAATTCTTTGCAGATGCACATTACTAGATTTTTTTTTCAAAGTTGAATTGCACAGTGGGCATATAATTTGTATGTCTGAATAATTTCATTTAACAAGTAAGGAATTTTACATCTTTATTCATTATTCATCCTACCTCTTTTAGACCCCCAATTCACTTTCTGATTAAGATCACTACTGTTTTCTAATTTAGTTTTTAAGACTCTTCCATTCATAACTGTTTTGGATGAAATAATTTCTAAATCATACATTTTTTTAAAAAAGACATTTCAGAAACAAGTATTCTAATTACCATTATTGTAGAAGAAACAAAGCAGACAAATTGTAGCATACTTGTAATTTTCTGAGCATACACACTTTGTGTACAGAAGGGTAACATTGTCAGGCAGGTACTATTATTCTTTGCAATTTTAGATTATACTTTCCAGTGTGAACTCTTGTTTGTTTATTTGTTTGTTTAAACCCCAAAATGAGCAAACAAGTAACCTTTAAAATTTTTTTAATTATTATTTTACTATCTTATTCATATGGCCTGCATATATGTACATGTACTATGTGTGTGCATTTATGGTGTCCTTGGAGATCAGAAGAGAATATCAGATTTCCTGGGACTGGCATTACAGATGGATTGTTAGGTGTCATGTTGGTGCTGGGAAATAAACTTCAAGTCTCTGTGAAAACAGCAAATGTTCTGAACTGCTAACTCTGCATTGCTCAGAAAGGCATCTTTGACTACAAAATGTACAACTAAATGTTCAGTTCTTTAAATGATCCAGTGCAAGTTATACCAAGAACTTTTTTCTCACTTGACCCTTATTATGAAATAATTAGGACTAGTTGCCTGAAGACATTTTCTTTAATTCCTTTCTGATTAGCGTATGGGTTTGGAAAGGTGCCCAGTAGCCTTTTTTCTTCACCTAAGAATGCAGGCTTCTTGCATCCAATCAAACTAATTATCATGATAAACTGAATGTAAATAGAATTTTAAAAATGTTATAGGTGTTTAGATAGTTTAGAGTAGGAGCTAGGGCATAGTAGTATACACTAATAGTCTCTCAGCTTCTTTAGAAACAAATGCAAGATGATCAGCCTCCTTCAAAACAAACAAAACTGAAGTTCCTAGCATAGAGAATGATTTCTTTTAGAGTTCCCCTAAAGAACAGAACTTGAAAATTATATTTAGATTAATTCAATAAATATAGGGTCCATCAGTTTTATCACAGTTGTACCAGATTTTCTGCTATACTTTGCATTGTAAATTTAAAGGGACCAAAAACCGTTATTGACCCCTTCCTAGTTTGTATCTTAGGGAACCAAATAGTGATGAATGTTGTTAATATTAGAAGTGAAAGAAAAGATTCTCTTGTTTCCTTTTCTGCTGCAGTGCTATCATAATTTTTCTGTAATGATAATACACTGATAAAACAAACATAATTGAAAATTCTAGCCATAAAAATACTGAATTCAGGATAAGTAATTAATACTGGAATGCATTAGCATGGGTGTTGAGGTGTCTGTCTTTATAATAGGTCTATATGTCCTGTACTCTGATGTCGTAGTGCTGTGTGTAAGCTGTGCTGTGTTAGGAATTGGGGGATTGGGTGGAGCTCTCTAATAATGGGTATAGTTTGTGTTCAATTGTAAATAATGATATAGTTTGGGTACTGTGATATATTAAGTGATCATTGCCTTTTCTGCTGTACAATATGACCCTTCTCATCTCTCTCATTCATTTTGCATGCCTCTGCTCACTTCTGTACAGCCACAGTTGAGGCTATTGAGGCTGAAAAAGGTACGATCAGAGTCCTTGCACTGGGCAGAGATCTGTGGTCTGTGGGTGGGCATCAAAGAATGTCCTTTGGGTGTGTATTAGGCCTAGCTTGTGCAGATGAATCATACTGGCTGACTCATCAAGTTTAACAGTCACATTCCTTTTTTTTTAAATCACAAGAGCTAATACCTATAGTGTCTTTTCTCTTTCTAGTATAATCCAGAGTTTATTGTTGCTGATTTCTTTAGCGTGTGTTGTATATTATAGCATTTATGTTGCTTTTTTAAATGGACATTATTAGACTAACCCTGAAGTAGAGCTCTAGCCCATATTTTGTTTCTTTTTTTCCCCTAAGTGAAATCCCCACTAAATATACATGTGAGTTTGTTTTTTCCCCATCTAGTTCAGAAACTGTTACTATAATGATTTTTGTTTCCTGAAGTTTGGGCTATAGTTTTGTAGATAAGATTATATTCATGTGGATCAGGACGTAGTTTGATATTACACACTTCTGTTTAGTGGCCACAACCATTTGTGTGGTTCATGTTTCTAAGTAGTGCTAGAGATTAAATATTTTAAGCACCTAGACTTTAAGTAATTGTATGGATATCTTTTTTTTTTTTAAATGAGCATTTCCTTAATGGTATCTGTATTCTTCCAGATGAAATGAATAAAAATCCAAGCTGGGCTTGGTGGTGACTATCTATTCTAGCAGTAGGGACATTGAGTCAGGAAGATCCTAAATTTCAGGCCAAGGACAGCCTGAGCTATATAGTGGGACCTTGTCTCAAGACAAAAGTTAAACAAAAGAACCCTTAATACTTAAGAAGGATTGCCATTTATTTTGACATAGTTTATAGTAATTGGCCAGAGAATGAAAACATGTTCTAATGTATGAAACTATTCCTATTTTACTTTTTGTTTATCAACCAAACACATTCTAACTTGCGGGACATTTTCCACTTTTTCATTTTATACTGGTACTCCTCCAAGGTAGTTCCTACCCTACTCCGTTTTACCCTTACTTCTAGTACATACACGTGTGTTGGGAGTTATCCTTATTTAGTGTCCTCACTTGCCCCCCTCTTTGCTACCTCACCTTTGTGATGGTCACCGTGTGATCTAGGTTTGAGGTAAGAGGAGATAGATAACTAGTTTAGTAGAAGCAGACGTATTCTGAGACCATTGCCTACAGGTTGATTTTTGTGGGCAGGGAAAGGCAATTCTAGTTTTTGTTTTGCTTTATTTTAAATAAAGCAAACAAAACCGTATTAACTTGTTATCTGTGAAGCTATCATCTTTTTATTTGTATTTAAGTGTTTCATATTTTAATGGGGAGACTAAAATGGGTATAGAATTCAATTATAAAGTAAAATTTAAGTGTTGCTATTTACAGTAATTTTCTTCTTAAAAGTCATTATGTGTTTGAAAACTCAGAAGTGTTTTTACAATTACTGACTTATCAAATTTGCATTTTGTTAAGCAATACGAGGATTCTCTCCACCACATAGAATCTGCAGTTTTGAAGAGGCAAAGGGTTTGGATAGGATCAATGAGAGAATGCCACCCCGGAAAGATGCTGTACAACAAGATGGTTTCAATTCCCTGAACACCGCACATGCCACTGAGAACCACGGGACTGGCAACCATAGTGCCCAGTGACCAGCGGCTTCCCAGGGACTCTCAGGTCTTGGACCCCAAATGGACAGATCACCCAAGGAATTGGAGAGGTCGGCCAAGCTGATGATAAATGTCACAGTCTCTCTGAAGAAACCATTGTGCTTTTTGAGACCCTTGCCCCCTTCCTGGATGGAGGCTTGAGGGCCCTGGGACATGTGTTGTCTAATAAGATTGGGTAATCGCTGCCACAGTGGAGAGCAGTGAGCAAGGGGCTTGGGGCAATTTCCAGTGGAGGATATCTACGCCTCCATTTATGTTTGTGGTTCACACATTTACGTTTACAAATGAGATTCCTGTTTTGTTTTGTTTTCTTAGTAGAATTAGGGTTTTTTCAACCATGAGTTTAAATCCAATCTTTAGAGTTAACGTGGACTCTCCCCCTACCCCATGAAATGTCTTTAAAAGGATGAATTAGCATGGTCTTAAAATATATTTCTGAGGTTACTAGCTGTATTTTGAATTGTAGGCAAAATCTGAGAAACCCAGTTGGTGTTTATACAAAATGCTGACCTCAGGTCTATAGTTCTTAAATGTGGCTAATTCTGTAACATAGTCTTGGTATTTTTCAATTATGAATGCATAAACTATTTCTAAGAAGACTCTTACTTGAACACAAATCCAAAAACCAATTTAGAATCTTTTGTGCCCATATCTTTTGAGATTTACACCCCAGAGATTTAAGGGAAAAAAAAGCCTAAATTTTCAAATTATGAAGAATTACAGAATTACTCATTTAAGGTACTTTAAAAGAAGTTTGTACATTGTCAAAGTAAATTTTAATTCAGATCATGTCTGTAAAACTTGACGTATTTTGTGTATGCACGTTTTCATTTTGCAAATATTTAATATATAGACTTATGATGTACAGGTACATGATGTATAGGTTACTTAGATGTCATGAGAAATTTTAGTTTATTGTGAGTATTCCAGTTGCTTAAAAAACCACCAGGGTGATTTGCTGCTGGCTTTCTATCATTTTTATGTTTAAATGCAAAGGAAAATTTAAAATGTCTGGAAATGTTTTTGATTAAGTAATACAGCCTAGAAGCAATGGTTCTCTTCTATTCTTCAGATGTTAGTGGAAGCCTAAAAGTCAAGACTGCATGTTGAAATTTTACTTTTGATAGTTACAGAACTGCTTGGTTAAGCTAAATGGAACCATGTGCTAATTTTACACAGTTAATGACCTGTGCTGATTGCCACTGTAGTTTGGTATTTCCCTTTACTTTGGTGGCCTGCTTCCCCTCATGCCCTGGAATACAACTCAGAGCTTCAGGCAGCAGAACCATCTGTTGTTTTGTTTGCCAGAAAGTGCACCCTGTATGGTCTCCTGTCTAAGTTGAAAATATTATGCATGTGCAGGACTATTCAAGTATTTTATAAACAGTAGCACACAATAAATTCCATGCATGGGCCGCTGCTCCTATCTCTGTGTTGGGTTTTATTTGAAAGATCTAGTCTGATTTAAACTTTTTACGCATATTGTAAAATTCTGTTCATGGAGCTAGAATAGCCTTCAGAGATTATTCTATAAATAACTAATGATGATTTCATGAATTAAATTCTTGCCTTTATAAATTTTACTTGTTTCCCCCTCAAACTTTTGTTATACTTTTTTTTAAAATGTGAGTAGTTGTGCATTGGAGAACTTTGAATACCTACAGCAATCTTCCAAAATACAATATTTAAAGTCACTTGGGGCTGGGGATATAGTTCAGTGGAAGGGTGCTTGCCAGTCATCTTCAAGGCCCTGGGTTCAACCCCTACTGCTGTAAATACAATAGAAGTCATTTTTTTCGCCAACTCTTAGATGGAAGAAATATTCTAGTCTTGGACTTTGTTAGAGTGATATTGATAAATTGTGTTTGGATATTGGGTAGTTTAACAATAAGCAAAATACTAATATATAGTTACTCTAAGATTGTGCATTTCCTCTGCCATTGTTGAAGTGGATATAATTTTGTGCAAATCGAGAAATTGCTCACAATTTATAATATGACAAATAGCTTTAAACAGTAACTATGATACTCATGAAGCATCAGTTTATATCAAAATATATATTCTTGCCTAATTCTAGATAAAAATAGAATCTAAAGTTTATTATTGTTCAACATAATACTGATTTGTAAACAGTCCATTAGCTACCTCTAAAATTTCTATATACTTTACAGATTTTTCATAGTTTTTTATGAAAATTACATTGTTAAAGTAGGAACTTAACTAGTATATTAAGTGCTAGGAACTTCTTAGCACTTTGATTTCTTACTAGGGTTATATAGTATTTGTGAGAGTCATAGGTAAGCATAAGACATCATTATCAAACTTGAAGAGTTGCAGGTTGGTGTTAAAAAGAGAAAGTAAAAGAACAATTTGGACAAATCAGTGTATCTGAAAATGGTAGACTGTTATCCAGCCTCACAGACTTCTTCCAGATTAATAAAGTGGGAGCCTCTTTGTAGTCTCCACCCTCTTCCTCCTTTCTTTCTTTCTTTCTCTTCCTTCCTTCCTTCCTTCCTTCCTTCCTTCCTTCCATCTTTCTTTTTTTCTTTCTTTTTTCTGAAAAGAGTCTATGTAGCTGAGATTACGCTTCAACTCATCTATCCTCTTGCCACAGCACCCCTAGAGCTAGAATTTTTAGTCATGAACTACCTACCATACCTGGCCTTTCATCTTCATGGATAGTTTTAGTAAAAATGGTTAAACATGTAAGATAATTTTCATTGCAACTCCTGATGCAAATTGTGGGAAGTTCAGACCTCTAAGTTGTTACTTTAAATGTCTGCCAGTGTAAGTAGCAATGCTAAAGTAGAAATATCCCCTATCAATTTTTTGCCCTGTCATTATCCTTTATATTCAAATATGATACTTCTGAGGTAGCAGAGTCAATCTGTGAATTTTTTTTTTTTGTACCTTCTGGTTCAGTCTTTAGCAACAGAACTCATAACCCCATTGAAAGTCATCATTTAATTTTGAGGCCATTTTAGTTTGAAATCAGCCTTAAAATCTTTATTCACCTCTATTTAATTAGTGTTTTTTTAATATTACAATTAATTTCCTTTGTTTACAACTGTTTTATATGGTATTATATAATGTGTCATTGACTCCTTTGTAGTTCATGCATTATAGTTTAAGATTCCTTTGGAATCCTTTGTGTGAAAACTTTGTAATTTGATGTACTACATTCTAGGACCCCATTGCAGAACCCCATTGTTTCCAGAGTCAGGTAAGTGACACCTGTGGTCATGAATGTGAGCAAAAAGGTGGGGAGGAAGGGTGGATTTTTTTAGTTGTATAGAACTGCTGTCCAAATAATATGCTGTTAGATTCTTCA